TTTTCTTCTCTAAACATGCATAAAAATTGGAATAAATAAAATATAAGAAAACCCCTTCTCTAGATATGTCCTTTCTGATTATATTTGCCTTTTGCTCATTAAGAAGAATCTCCTGCATTCTGAATTAAAATACCCAGCCAGAAAAAGCCAAGAATGCTGGACAGACTGTCAAGTGGTTCCAAAGATGGAAAGGATAATATGGAGTCTTCTATTTAATGAAATGAGTTATGCATAGACATGTCTAAATTAAGTAGCTCACAAAATCAAGAGAAAGAGAAAGTTTTTTCATGCTGGTGTATGTGTAACGCTAGCTCTAACAGCTCAGAGAAGGCATGGTTAGGTCCCACAATGACCAAGAACTGCATTCATTCAACATTCTCATGTGAGGCTAATTGAAACTTGGAAGGATTCCCAGTGATCTCATCAGTTTCACCAAGCTAAATCTTCATGGAATAGGCAGTTAATTTCCAGGGGATTAGTTGTTGCCATCTCTTCCCCACCATGTTCCTCAGGATGCTAATAAAAGAAGGTTTCTAATCCTTTGTCCCCTTCAACTGCCATGACATCTTGAAGGTAAATTATTTGCCCTGTCATAACCAAAGTCATAACCAAAATTGGACTGAAATACTATAAAATACACTTAAAAAAAAGCAGAAACTTAAGTTATGGCTTTGGTAAGGTATATGGTTTGGTAGATGGAGGGGAGAAATGAACAGACTCCAGACAAAGAGGACAAAATAAGCAAAATTATAGTGGTAAGTATAATCATAAATATTTTTTGCAGTTTGAAAATGTTAAGTCCCAAAATGATGTCTAGGACAGAGTAATTAGTCAAGTGACAGGATTTGACAGTGATTTGCTAACTAGAAATCAGTAAGAGTGATGGTCTTTGTCATAGGTGGCATACTTTGATACTGATTTGCATATCTTGTCTTGGTTTGAAGGATAGAAAGGAAGAAAATGTTTAAAATTAATAAGATCTTCAATAAACTTTTTGAACATTAATATGACTAATTAGCTTCACGTCTTAGGCTCAGAGGGCTTGACATAATATAGACAGTTTTACAGTCAGAAAATTAAGACAAAATTTGTATTGATTTTACACTGATTGAATTATTTTTCAAAGTAAATAGTAGAGATGTTGATTCACTAAAAACTGAGCCAAGTATCACTCAACAAAACAACTGTCAACATTGGCTGAAGTTTTTCATCATCCTGTATTTTGAAGATTCTCCCAAAATCTATCACCTCTACTGGTCATGCAGAATATGTGGTCCAAGATGGTGAGCACATCAATTCTAGGAGTGGTTGGGGGAGAATCCTCAGAGGATGTCAGAGACCAGAGAAGGAGGGTTCCCACTACTAGGCTGATGGAACTGGTGACCAGAAAGTCACTAAAGTCAGCTCACCTCTACCACTTCTTAAGTTCTGTTATTGCCTCCTTCACCTCCACACTCATCGGTCCCACTTTTGCCAGGTTTTAT